CCTGCTGCTGGCCATGTTAGGTCCCGGCTCCCCCATGAACCTGAAATGGAAGAAGTGGTTAGAAAGTTAATGAATATGGAGGTAAACACAGGCAGATCTCCAAAGATTTAACTGAGGAAGATGTTTATCATTTGGACTGGTTAATACTGAGATTCAGCATCAGGGTAAGTAAATGTTGGCAGAGGGAGAGTGACACTTAAAACCACAGGCTGAGTGATGGTTTTCGGCCTTAGGTTTTTTTGAAACCTTTTATTTGGAAGCACGTGAAATGGAACACCTTCAGCACAGGGGTGGCTAGTGGAATCTCTGTGGACGTGAATTGAATACAGAGCAGGGGGCTCTCCTTTACCCAAAGGACTGTGGGAGTGTGGAACAAGCTGCCCAGCCATGCTGTTGAACCTTCAGTACGCAGCTGGGTGAGGTCAATGAAGCCCTAACGACCCAACGACCTAACGAGCTCGCGTGCTGAATGGCTCCTCTCGTTCGTAACCCTTCTCTGCTCTAATGAGCGTCCCATGAGGTCTTCTGCTGTAGGCAGGGAAAGGGAGACTCGACTCCACAGCTGGAGGTGCCGTGCTGCAGGTTATATGTGTCTGTTCAGAGCAGCAGGGCCCGGAGAGATGGGAGCAGGTGTTCAATTGGTTCCTCTGTGCCATTAATGACCTGATCAAGCTCGTTAAGAGCAGATTAGCAACGAACGACCGCAGAAAACCAGGGTAGTGTTGGACCGTAGCATTTCCATAAATAAAAACATACCCAATAAGAGCAATCTGAAATATACAAATGATCCTATATCCTTTTAAAACAAATGTCTACATTTATAGTGAGACTGATGAAAACTGGAGACTTGCAGGGCCCTGATCCCAGCTGCTCCTCCAGCACCTACAGATCTTGGGGGAGGGGTTAAAGAGTTCCAAATAAGACAATAATTAGATCAATTAGGAAGTTAAGAGGTTGATTGGGATAAACGCCCTTTGGCCTTGGCCTAAGAGCGCTTAATAAAATGGTTCACCAAAAAGAAACCCTGGAACTTGTATCAATTAGTCCCATAATTGTCGAATCTGTCCGTACAGCACACCACTGTGTGTTTTAACTAATAACACAGCAGGGATGGTGGCCATTTCTGTCGATGAAAAATAGAAAAATGCCACTTACGTAAAGCTCAAAGCACTTGTTCCGTTTCTAACTTTATTAATTAAACAGGTTTATTTAATTTGAATTGCTTAGCATTTGAGGTGCAAATCCTAGAATTCTGACGCTGTTGAAATCAGTGGTCTGCTAGATGTGTCCTTTAAGTGTTACAGCACCGGCGATAACAATCTTTGATTTAACCGGATAAGTTAGCTTGGAACATATTTTTCAAAAACGTGTTTATGGCTGAAAATACACTCCGGGGCCGTCGGATACATTCCGGTCAGGGCCCGACACTCGCCCGTTCACCTTCCCGTTTTCCCCACACGACGGCGCTGTGCGCCCCCAGGGCTGTGTCCCTGTGCCGCGCTTGTCTTGCCGAGCGGGGTGTCAGTCGTCGGCAGGAAGTGGGGAGCCGGTCCAGGAAACAGCTCTGGCGCGGAGGCTGGAGGCGTGCTGGGGGCTGGGAGAGAGCGTGAACTGGGAAACCGGACGGAAAATGGCAGATCCGATCGCGGAATACACGTTGCGTGTGCAACAGCAGGTCAGCATCGCGACACAGAAGCCCGTCAGGCGGAAAGCTTTCGCCAAGGCTGGGATTTTATTAAAATATGACAACTGATGCTAGCGTCCATGTGGTTAATCCTTTTCTGATGCAATTACGGGGCAACGTGATGAAGTTGGTCACTTCTTGGAGTCAGGAGGAGTACAGTGAATGTTTGCTGTATTCCTGTCACAGTCCTGTTTTACGCTACTTAAAATAGTTGTACAAGGTTGATGAAACGATACTTTCAGTATCGATTAAGAGCACTAGCGGTTTTTGCTACATCGGCATCTTTTTTATACCAGTAATAGAATATGACGTGGAATAGGTGCAGGGTTTTTCTTCCCGTTTCAAGATGCTGTCCTCATCATATCTTGTTAGAGGATGCACCTTATTATAGAAACCTTTTCCATCTTAGTGTTGCAGTGTGCAAGATAAAATACTGTAGCAGTTTCACTTTCAGTATGATATCATGATCAAAAAGCAGAAATCAAATAAAGTAAATGCACTAAATTCCTGTTTGTGTTATTGACAGTGCCCAAAATTAATACCCCTTTGACTCTTTGTCGAATAGGTTAGCAAAATGTGACTTCTTCCACTGGAATTCCCCATCTCTGGCTAATGAATGGGTCAGGAAGCAAAAAGTCATGTCTGATCATCCTCAGAATGTCCTATTCTAGCTGATAGAGTGGACCTGAGAAGGAAAGTGTGACAGGTCGTGTGATTAATTATTGCACTGGATGGTAAATAAACAAACATGGTTATTATGCTGTGTATATTCTATACCGTTAATGCTTGGACTAGCAAACGGACTGGAATTATTATGTGATGTGGAATTACACAATTGGAAACAGTGGGGAGATTACCAATTTGTAAATTGACTGTGGCTTTGTCAAATAATAAGGCTTTTGGTACTGCCAGCATAGAGAAGGTTTTTAAATTTCAGTGTAGCCGTGAGTGACGAGGACTGGGTAAATGTGAACTGCGTGCTGAAAAGCAGGAGAAGCTTGTTTTGGCTGTTGAGCCTCCTTCAGGTGTGGGAGTAAGATGGAACAGGAGGACCAAGGGCAGAGCAGGTGAGATGGGGGATCCACAGCAAGGGGGATCAGGAGCAGAGTGTGAAGAGCTCAGACCTGTCAATGATTGAAGAAGAAATTAGCCTGTCAATCCTGACAATTAGTTATGCATGATTAAACGTGGTACCCTACTGTTCAGTTCTTTCACTGGAGGTAATGTCTTGTTTTTTTAAGGGAATTGAAAAACACAGAGTGTACAGGCATAGAAAATATCACTCTTTTTCCTTATTGGGGTGCTGGTGATTATCGCGCCTCAATGTTTCTGAAAGAAAATATTATTCCTTTAAAATCCAGCGTTTTGGATGCGGTTTCCTTATTGTTCTGCAGTCTCTCACTGTCACATATTTAAGTACAAACGACACATAATAACTGTAAACTGGTGAAATTATTCATGTAGCAGGGCAATTATTTTTAAATGTTTCCACTCTGGTGGGTTCGATACGTACTTCTGTGCTCGCTTTTTGAATATTGCATATCTTCGTATTTGATGAGAATAATTTTCTGCAAGCAAAAAAAAATATTAGGCTTCAAAGTAGAGATATTTCCTTGTGCTCCACACCAAATATATTTGGCCAACGTGTTTGCCATTGGTAGAAATGGTTATTAGTAAAGGTTATTTATTTGCTTTATCCAGGGTGATTTACAATCTGTCACCTATGTATATGAAATACAAGTAACAATCACAGTACAAGTACAACAAGACTAAGGAATGAAATGACAACAAGAGCAACATGCAGTAAGATGCAGGAGGATCCCAAGTGCAGGACCTGGCAAAGCAGATAAAAAGGATTGATCCTGCCTTCAGAGCAGGTGGACGCAGAGGAGAGACGAGGACGTGGGCCAAGCTGGCAGGGAATGAGAACTATGCAGCTCTGTGCCGGGCTGAGAGGGAAGATCAGTGGCACAAGAGGTGTAAGAGACAGAAGGACAGGACTGAGAGCTGAGGGGTCACAGGCCTCTGCGGTTTTACTAGAATGCAGCTTCATACACGGAGATGGTGTTTCATGAAGATTTTTATTCTGTTTTCCTGAATTCAGTTCCTAGGCTACAGTGGGAAAATGCTTTTAATTTCGGTGAAACTTGTTGGTGCCAGCAGTTTTCGTGTTTTTTTGTGTCGTAAGACTGCATGTCTTGCTAAACCTGCAGTGATACTGGCCCAGGAGGGAAAGGAGAATATTTCTATTCAGGGCATTTACACGTGATGAGCAGTAAGACCTTTCCATTACTGCCAGCATAGAGAACGTTTTTAAATTTCAGTGCAGCTGTGATTGACGAGGACTGGGTAAATGTGAACTGCGTGCTGAAAAGCAGGAGAAGCTTGTTTTGGCTGTTGAGCCTCCTTCAGGTGTGAGAGTAAGATGGAACAGGCATGGGTTTCATTCTTAGTATGTGTTTTTCTCAGTGTAGAAAGTGAAAGTGTCGTTGGTGTTTAGTGCCAGTCCTAGGCTTTGCGAAGAGAAAAAAGAAACTCACTACTTCCAAATAATTACCATTTGTCATCCACATCAGTCCCATCTGATTTTGTCCTGGTAAGTATTGAAATACTGTCAGTCTGAGGGGACACTCATGTGGATCCATCTGCCCTCGACGAGTGTTCTGGTAAATCAGGCAAGAAGATCTGCCTGTTGAACAATGGTATAGCAGTTTTTTTTTCTTTTTTCAGGAAAAGCATATCAGATCACTTTCTGCTGAAATTGAACAGCTACAGAATCCAGAGTCGCTGGGTGTCTCACCTCATCTAGAAGAGTTAAGAGAAGAAAACGCAAAACTTAAATACCGTCTGAATATCCTTAAAAGGGTGAGTAAAGTCAGGCTGTTTTGGGCAGATATTTGTCTAATGTCGTATGACATGAGATCTTAAACGTTTGCTAGTGTGTTGCATTTCAACTGCTGGATCGTAAAATACGAGCTGCCTTTCGTTTACGTCTCTTTTTGCTAAAAAGATGGAGCACATGTTCTGACCTGCTGAAATCTGGGGTCTGAGTGGGGGGTTTATGGAGAGGCTAAGCCTTTCTGCCTGGGTTCTTTGCTCATGTCATGGCACTTCGCAAGTCCAAGAAGAATAGTTTATCCACACTTGAATTCCACTGCCACGGCGTCGGTGTTGCTGGAGTTGTGCCTCTTGTGCTAAACTGTGTGATCATGAGTGCGTGGACAATGTCAGCTCTCTCTGCTGAGACCTGGGGTTTTGGTAGTGCTGTTACTATGTGGCAGGGCTCAGTCTGTCTAATGATGTAAAGATGTTTAGCCATGTAAACCTAGAACAGTGACCCGGGCTTGAGCCCGTGACTGTCGGGCTCAGTCTGTGCTTGGCCGAGCAGCTTGACCGGCTCGTCCTCCAGGGAGGCCCAGCAGGCCCAGCAGGGTCCACACTAGGGCGTCTGCACCCACAAGGCCAGATCCCCTCCAAACTCGGGGTTAACCTGCGGCTGTTACGGCTCACAGAGCCTCCAGGAGGAGCAGAGGACGGGCGGCAGGAACATGATCAACATCAACCAGCAACTGCAGGAGCTCTTCGAGGGCGCCATTCGCGCAGCCTACCCCGACCTGGAGAACCCCCCCCTGGCAGTGACGCCCAGCCAGCAGCCCAAGTTCGGGGACTACCAGTGCAACAGCGCAATGGGAATGGCTCAGGTGAGGGTCCTGGGGTTCTGGAGTTCTGGAGTTCTGCAGTTCTGGGGTCCTGAGGGTCTGGGGTTCTGCAGTTCTGGGGTCCTGGGGGATCCGAAGGTCCGGGGTTCTGGAGTTCTGGGGTCCTGGGGTCCACAGTCTTGAGCTGGACGGGCCCAGGGGTTTCATCAGCTGGCTGACGCTCGGGGGAGTATTTTCTCTCGACATGTGATTTCCAGAAGGACGGTGCAATGGAATATTCCTTCTGCGGTTTTACTGGAAACAGATGATAAAACATCTGTCGTGATGCGGTAAACATTTGCTGCAATTACTGCCTTATTTGTAGCCTATAATGCAAAATACAAGAAGTTCACGACTGAGTTTTACAGGAAAATAACTTGGTAACTGATTGTGGTTTCGTATTGGATATTAGGATTTATGTGTGGTAATTGCACAGCCGAAGGGTTGTTATGGAGGTTGTGTGTGTTAAAAGCCTTCTTTGTATTTTGCCTCTGAAGTGGTGGAATTTGATTTAATTTTTTCATTTTTTATTTTTGAACATCCCGGTCCTGCATGAACTCTGTCATCCCGAACGCGTTACGCTGTTATAAAGTAGAAAACTTATTTAAAGCTCCCCCTGGGCAGCAGTATCTACACTGAAGATTCACCAGCCAAACGTTTGAATTCATTTCTTCATTTAAGCAATAATGCACGAGAGGCCATGCTGTATCGTGAATGTAGTCACAGTTAAAAGGCGTTGTTAGCGTGTCAGCCAATCAGATTTATCCGTTTTATAATTAAAAATAAAGAATAAGAGCTTTTTCAGGTGAAGTTCTTTTGTCATTGGACTCACAGATATGAAGAGCTGTGCTTGCTTTGTGTTGGGTGAGCTGTCTCATTGGCCTGAGAGAGGAACAGTTATTTTTTTCCAAAGCCTAATTAAAATTAGGTTGAGAATTACATTAGAAATGTAGAATGTTTAAGCAATCTGAATGCTTGTGCATCTGAGATTTGTGAAATGTACAGAAGCTAAAAAAATATTTTCCCCAGGGCCATGTGTTGTATTAAATTAAACAGTACTCTGTGTGATGCCATTAATGGTTGCAGAGACGTTTAACATTTGTATTATTGCCACTAATGATTTGACATAAAAAATACGATTATACAGCAACAAACCAGCTATCATCCCTTTGAAACAGTCACTGCCAGGCGGGTGTTGGTAAATCAAAACTCTGTAGGGTTCCATGAAAGCCTCCCTGGCAGAACCTGTAGTTCTTGATTGTGTTTCAAAAGCAAAACACGTGTCACCCATTTCAGTTAATGGTGAAACTAAACCATCAGCAAATATTTGCAATACTTGTAATATTTGTAAAATCTACAACCTAAGTGTTAACTTTGAAATATTATGTCAAATAATTGTTATAGTGTTAACTGTAGCTCTTTTGACATTGACAGGTGGCAGATGTATCACCATTGAGACTTCTCAAAGTGAACTCAGCGATGAATTAAATACCTTAATTGGGAAACACAGTTATTGCTGTGTTTGAGAGCCCACTCGAATGCGTTTCTTCTCATCCATATTCCAGATGATGAAAGCAAAGGGTCAGAAGGTCAGCCCGCGGGAGATCGCCGAGCAGATCATGAGGAACATCCCAGAGAATGACATGACGCTGAAGCTGGAAATTGCTGGACCAGGTGACAGAGGAGGTGTTTGGAGTTTCAAGCTTCGAGACGTGGAGGTCCTGAAACGCAGCCTGTGTAGATCGTCTGAGGAGTCTCACCTGTTAAAATGATTTTGTTCCATCGCAGGTTTCATCAACGTTCACCTCAAGAAGAACTTTGTGTCCAAGCTGCTCTCCGACCTGCTGGTTAATGGTGTGCAGCCACCTTCTATAGAGGCCAGGAAAAAGGTAACAATTCATGTTTAACGAGCGCTGTACGCTGATTTATTTTAAACCTGCATTGGACACTCCAGTTCAGCTCCTTCAGCACTGGGTCTCGTTCGTAGGTGGTGGTGGACTTCTCCTCTCCTAACATTGCCAAAGAGATGCACGTGGGCCACCTTCGCTCCACCATCATTGGGGACAGCATGTGTCGGCTCTTCGAGTTCCTGGGGCACGATGTCCTGAGGTCAGTAGCTTCCTGCAGCTCGCTCTTGGTCCTGCGCAGCTTCCTGGAGGCCGTTGAGGTAAAGGCAGAGGAAGAACTGCACATGCCTTAGGAATTAAAGCCTAGATGGACTTTTTCATGGCCTGATTTTGGATACTTGAATCTGGTTCCCTCATGGCCTTCTCTTTGGTTATTTCAGCCTGCAGTGTAGGACATTCCTTTAAAGCAAGCAGTGTACCTGATTCCAGAGCAGCAGTACCTTTTCTAACACGTGGTGGCCTGTATTTTGTATGCTGTTCTCTAGATGAGGTTTTTCTAGTGTGGTGTACAATTTTAACAGAACACCCACTGGTTTATGTTCATTTAGATCTTCTGTGTGCTTATTTACGGCTTTCCTGCCTTGCCTGACTCGTCCTGTGCGTGAGTTCCTAACCCTGTGGCTAAGCCGTGAATGTGCGCGTGTTGTTTGTGTTCCAGGCTGAACCATGTGGGTGACTGGGGTACCCAGTTTGGAATGCTGATTGCTCACCTCCAGGACCAATTCCCTGACTACCTCACCGCGTCTCCACCCATAGGAGACCTCCAGGCCTTTTACAAAGTGTGTGACACCGCGTCTCGGCAACGAAAAAGTGCTTTCAGCCTGCTTTGAAACAGCTAAATGCCTTAGGTGGATTGATGGAACTCCAGTGATCTGTCTTGTTTTTTTACGCTTTATTCTGATGTGCTAAGCACAGTGCTCCCTTCACCAGGGCTCCTCAGAGAGACTCCTGGGAAGCTTGAGAACGAGCTGATCAAACCAGCTCGGTCTCTCGCTCTTTCCTAAACAACAGTGTCCCAGCAAGGGCCTGTAGTCCTTGGTGTTGTCCCCATGTATGCATTCAGGCTCTCTTGGCAGTGTGTGCAGCTGCTCTCTTAATTACTTAATTGGGACCATTATTGAGCCAATGATTTTATCATTAAGGAGTATCAATTTATCAGTTATTTCATGCTCTGCAAGTCCTACATTTTAGGATTACAATTCTGATTAATACGTAACCTAAAGCTGCAATGTTTAGCAGCTGAGAATACTCGGAAACATCTAATTAACCAAATTACTGGTTCCTGGTCCTGGTTCAACGAAGTGAGAGCCAGCTGACACTGGGAAGCTGTGTTCACTGGGGATGTCTTTCACTGCAGTCTTAGCTTGACGCTTTATTAGTAATTGAACCCATAATTCCAACATTTCCAATGGATTGCTTGCAAGACGGTTCATGATGGGTGTTTGTGTGGAGGCGTCTCTGCTGGAAATGATGAATTGAACCCAAGCGTAAGATGATTTTGGGATACGCAAAACTCTGTTGACGGATTTACTAAGATGGCTACCACCGCTCTACAATAGAGTGACTAAAAAACGTTGGGGTGTCGCTACAAGACTACAGTTTATAGTTTTATCTCTTGTGGTTCTCTAGGAGCCAGGAATGCATCCAGACAGTCTTGGCAACTGCAGATCTAAAATGCAGAACTATGTGATCAGAGCATTACTGTCAACTAGAGTCTGTGCAGCTGAGGAAGAGGTTGAAATGTGACGTATACCTGGTATCATAATGACACTGAGAATCCAGAGTGTTTGAATTCTTTGACTTTTATTTAAAATGAGTAAAGTGACCATTGAAAAATTAAAATGAAATGACTGCTACAAGGTTAACACCTGTTAGAAACGTGTAATATTGTGAGGATTACTTTAAAACTGTGAGGCAAAATGACAAGTTCTTATATATATGTTTTTTTAGGAATCCAAAAAACGTTTTGACAGTGAGGAGGACTTTAAGAAGAGGGCCTACCAGTGTGTAGTTAAGCTACAGAGCAAGGAGCCAGACTTCATTAAAGCCTGGAATTTGATCTGCAATGTCTCCAGACAAGGTGTGTTACTGGCCAGCTGTCCCTGCACAGTGACCTCATTTCTTTCAAACATAACTGTGCTGTAGCAGTTTGACAATTTGAAAAAATACAATTTAGTTCTCATGCACAAAAAAATACACTTTTAAGCCAGGGGTCTCTATGCCTGGTCCTAGGGAGCCCATATAAAGGAGAGTGTCAGTTGCCATTTAATTACTAAAGACATGGGAAAATTTTGTTTTGGCCAGTAAAGCAGATTAAGGGACCAGAATCAGACAGCTCTCATGGTCCAAGAGATTAATTGAGATTATTTGCTTCACTCACAGATTCTGCCAGACATTAGAAAGGGGAGGCCTGTAAGATGAACTGGATCGGGGCTCTCTGGGGCAAGGGCAGGGCACTGTGTCCTAACGAGGGCTAAAAGCCCGACCACAACGAGACTCTTCAGATTGAGTCTTCCGGCCCGCACTAAACAATTCTTAAATCTTAAAATGCTTCCAATCATCATGTGCCTACACTGCATATACATTCTTGCAGTCATATACACACATGTATATAATACGATCCATGAGTGTGGTCACTGTATTGGATTGTGGTTTCTCTGTACAGTTTTTTGAAGTCTGAAAACGGATCTGGCTAATCCTTCTTCTGTATTAAAGAGTTTCAGAAGGTGTATGACTGTTTGGGTATCAAGCTGATCGAAAGGGGGGAATCCTACTACCAGGATATGATGACAGATGTGGTGAAGGAGTTTGAAGAAAAAGGTAAAATGCGTGCAAGATTGTTTTTAGGGTGAGACATTCTTATGGGTGGGTAAGACTGAAGGTAGAAATATCTCAGCATAGACACCTTTTCTCCATTATTGGGATGATTCTTCCTGCCCTTGTCTTGCGTCGTTAAAGCTTCAGATGCTTCAAACTTGTGTAAATCCAGTCTCTTTAAAAAAACAAAAATATAAGAACCTCATATCTCATCAGGATAGCGTCAGCAGTAGACAGGCACAGTGCCCTGTTTTTCACTTTCTCATCGTTTCCATCATGTTCTGTAAAAGGTGTGGTGTTCGATGTCCCTAGAGATATGAAAGTAAAAACGTGACCATCTTTCCCTTTGGTATGTTTTTGAAGTTTTTGACTCTTTGATTAATCATTGTTGACACTGGTAGGTAATTCAGTCAGTTGTTTTAGGAAGACGTAAACTCAAACAGGGAAGATCAGCTTCTGTTTTCCGGACTCAGTGCTCGTTGCAGGTGGTGGTGTATGGAAAGAGTGTATTTTCTCCCTTGTTCTATTCGGTTTGTTTCTTGCATTGTTGTTCTTTTTCCTACTGCCACCAGGGGGCAGTGTTATCAAAGAAATCTCATCCCGGTTCCCTCTCGCAGGTTTCGTTCAGCTGGATGACGGCCGAAAGATTGTGTTTGCTCCCGGTCAGTCTATCCCCCTGACTGTTGTCAAATCTGATGGAGGCTACACCTATGACACTTCAGACCTGGCAGCCCTTAAGCAGAGGCTGTTTGAAGAAAAGGCTGATATTATCATCTATGTGACAGACAGTGGACAGGTGAGAATTTAATATCAATCAATTAATTAAGGTGTATTGATCAATGCACGAACAGTACAGCATACACTGGTGTTGTCAGCAATGAAATGCTTTGTCCTCGAGCTTGTTGAAGGAAGGAGGACAAGAATTTATAGGGATTAGATTAACATTATGATTCAATAAATTACACAATTGCAATTTACAATACAGTTTACAGGGATAGGAGGTATTTAGCGCTCTTCTTGTGTGTCCTGAGAGTGCAAGTGGCAGGAGGGCGCCGGTGCGCCTGTCAGTTCAAGGAGGTTGCCTATTCGCCAGCGGCTGTTTGGGGAACTGCAGGCGTCTGCTGTGGTTGGCTGTTTAGCAGTCTTACTGCCTGGGGGATGAAGCTGGTAGTCTTGGTCTGTATACTTCGGTATCGTATATCAGTTTATTTGATGTTTGGTTACCTCTGCCTCTAACAGGGGTTTCCATTATATTGTTATTATTTTTTGTAGAATTCTATTTAACGGAATATTCTGGGAAAACTGGCCCAGGTGTGAGTGTGTGCGTCTGTGTGTCCGCCCTGCGCTGGACTGGCGTCCTGTCCAGGGTGTACCCTGCCTTGCACCCAGTGCTTGCTGGGATAGGCTCCAGCTGCCCTGCCAGCCAGATTGGAAGAAGCAGGGAGAAAACGGACGGATGGGTAAATGATTGACATGCCCATAGAATGTAGAATTGTTGCTTTCTGGTGTGTATTATTGACAGCCAGGAGAGCATGGGCACATGTCTCTTGGGTGTCGGGTATAACAGATTTGTTCTGTAATGCACAAGGCGTAAGTCTGCATGGAGCTGAGGAGCTCATGCAGAACCGCAGCAGTCCTCTCAGCTCTGGCTGCTGGCGGTAGCAGGCCTACCTGACTCTTATCGGAATCTGAAGTTCTTCTATTTTTAGAAGCCTGTGTATTGGATTTTTAATTGCATCCGAAACGGAGTCAGGTGTGAAAATAATTTGCTGTAATTAAGCGTGTGATAACGGCTTCTGAGCCGATACTGTTTCTTAGAAAAAAAACACGAGAAAAGGTTATGAATCGCATTAGTTTAATGAGGCTGAAATTAGTGTGCCAAGGGACAGTTCACAGAAAGAGGGCAGCGGTGTTCACCTGCAGTGCTGAACTGGGGTACAGAGCAGGGAGAAAGGAGGTTTTGGGGGGGAGAGGGGGCTACAGAGTGGGACAAGTAAGGGTTCAGAGTAGGGGTCAGGGTGGGGCAAGACAGGGTTTTCCAAATAGCTCAATTAAGCAATTAAGAGCAGAGGTGGAGTAAAATCACCAGGACCCTGTGGAACTTGTGGAAGCTGTGTCAGTACCCCCCTCTCGACCTGCTCTGTACCCCAGTTCTGCCCTCCTCTGGGCCTGTTCACCACGTGGACACGGCCCACCCTTGTAACCCGGTGATACAGTTTGAAACATCTGTGTGTTCCAGAGTGCGGCAGCAGACATCAAGGTGCTCTTTCCTCCATGACTGCTGATCACAGCCTGGTGTTAGGATGGATTCAGCGACCATCGCTCGGCTGGACCGTGGCCGGATGTCGCCGGTCGTTAGGGCACCTTGTAATCTGTCTCATCCCCTGTTCTTCAGGCGACGCATTTCCAGGTGGTCTTCGCAGCCGCTCAGATGATCGGCTGGTACGACCCCAGAGTCACCCGAGTGGAGCACGCGGGGTTCGGAGTGGTCCTGGGAGAAGACAAGTGAGACACGCTCCCGAGCCGGTTTCTCATGGTCTTCAATCCACCTCGGCTCTTAATTGCTTAATTGAGCTATCTGGCACACAAGTCAAGGCACATGTGTTTTTTTTAGGTCTTGTTCAAGTGCTAATTGAAAAGCACCTCTAAGCCCCTCAGGTACTGGAGTTTCCTGTGCTTTACATGGCGCAGAGCGACACTGTGGTCTGGGGATCATTCTGCCCCAGCTCCTGGCCACCGTTCCGCTTTCGGGTCTTTACACGGTCGTGGTTCGGCCTCTCCAAGAGCAAGACGGATTATCGCTGCTCCAGAGCAAGGGGCCTGCAGCCCTGGTCCTGGAGCGCCCTAGTCCTGCCAGTTTCACTTTCACAGGCAGCATTAAAAAGCAAATAAGCAGTGATCCTATTCAGTCATTCGGAGTTAAACTACAAAAAAAAACCAGCACACTGTTCGGGCTAGATGTGCAGGACCAGGATTGGAAACCCCTGCTTTAGAGTAAAGACACACAGGGCTGCTTGGTGAAATCATAGCAGCTCTTCAGAAATCTAAGGCCCAAATGTATAACTTTTATATATCTGCTTATTGCACACTGCAAACCTAACGCATAATGATTGCTTTTTGATTGCAAGACACATCTCCCCTCTATTCATTGCTATACCCCCTGTTGTGTACTAGGTTTGTATCCAAGAATTGAGGAACAGGTCAGTGTTTTCATCCGAGCCTGGCCAAAGACCGTTTTAGAGGTCTTTTTCAAACCCGAAGCAGAAGAGTTAAACCATTTGGCGTGCAGGTGGAAAGGATATTCTAACCTGTCTGCAATAACCCTTCTGTTTCTCCTGTTATACCAGGAAGAAGTTTAAGACGCGGTCAGGGGACACAGTCAGGCTGATGGATCTTCTGGAAGAAGGGCTGAAGAGATCCATGGATAAGCTGAAGGAAAAGGAGAGGGACAAGGTAAGCACAGCAAGATGAGTGAGGCAGACAGGGCGGAAGAATGAAACCTCCCCTGTCAGGTGAACGCGAGGAGAAAAGGTTAAATGTCTTCTGCGCTGTGGTGGTTGAGGGAGCTCTGTTGAAGGCATAGCCTAGATACTCAAGGAGGGCACTGCGGTTGTAAAGGACCACATTCTCTCACCAGTGTTACTATAAAGGTCTGCTTTATTGTTGCATCCGCATTCAAAAAATCTTGGCATTTAAAAAATCGTGTTTTAAGTTTAAAAACCTCAGTTTCTGTATATAACAGACGCTGGCTGGTCAGAAAGTCAGGAACCACCCACTGAACAGCACGTTGGGCCTGTTCGGGCAGCAGGAGCATGTTGAACAGCGCGTGATCCATGCAGTATATGATTGGTATACGAATCCCATCCTCTTCCTGGAGGTGGTATTGAGAGTAAATCTCATCCTGCAGGGGAGTTGAACTGCCTATCCTGCAGACTCTTTAGGATGGAGATGTGGGAATAGTTCTACCCGGGGTAGGCCATGGAAATCTGTCCCGTGTTCCTGAAGCAGCACGCGCATTGCCCGACGCACAGAGTCATTCTATTTACCTGGGCGTTTCTGACGTCTTTGCTAGTCTGGGATTTAAAAGAAATATTTTAAATGTTTTAGAAGGGGAGCATTCGGCAACAGCGAACGCGTGTGTGTAATCAGTTGGAATGTGACGTAAAGGTGAAGCACACCCAGGGACTGTGTCTGAAGAGCGATGCAGTGAAGTGTGGCGCTGCTTTTGTTTCTCGAACCCCCGGTGAGTTTATGAAAGCGCCAGCAGGCAGTTCATGCTTGGGAACAATAGCAAGGGGGACTTGTGTGTTATTTTTATACTTCATCAGTGATGTGCGCCTTCCAAGCAAGCAAAAGTCCTTTGAAGAAACGTTGGTAATATATTTAGCCAAGCCTGTAATTGTCAAGGATATTGAAAGTTACATGTGCTGCTTTAAATTATGCAGAAAAGTAAGCAGGCGTATAATCACACTTTCCCAGGGGTGTAATCACTTTACCCAGCACACGTGGAGGAAGCCAGTTTTGATCTAGGATTTCTCTTTCGTTATGGCATCCTCAGACACTTTATTTAAACCTTTTCAAAGGCTGGTTCTGTAAGGGCTGGCCAGATTCCCAAGCTGCCACCTGTTCTCAAATTCTCGTTTAAAAAAAAAAACAACAACTTTCTAGCATTTTTTTTCTATTTAATTGGATCTAGTGCCCTGATACCTCCCTCAGCTCACTAGGAAATCTGGAAATAGGATTTCTTGGTCAAGTGTGCAAGACCGGTGTAACTGAAGATGAACTTTGATTTATCAGAGTATACCAGAGACCAAAGACAGGTTTTTGAGCTCTTCATGGACCTTCCCGTCACACTTTTGCACAACACTTAAAAAGCAACTCGGAAACACAGCTCTATCTTATCACTGCCACTGGATCTCGAAACTGAGACGTCTTTATTTTATTGTCTTTGAAAGCTTTAAGGTCTTATTTTCAAGCTTGCTTTTGGAGGTGTACCCGTGTGAACGTGCAGTCATTCATGTCCAGAAGTCACCTCGGTCTTTTCCTGCGTCTGCGTGCCGGGAGAGCGGCGGGCTGACCTGGTCCTTGTCCTCCGCCCAGGTGCTGACCCCGGAGGAGCTGGTAGCAGCCCAGGAGGCCGTTGCTTTTGGTTGCATTAAGTACGCAGATCTGTCGCACAACCGGATCAACGACTACGTCTTCTCCTTCGACAAGATGCTGGACGACAGAGGGAACACAGCCGCCTACCTGCTGTACGCCTTCACCAGGATCAGGTGAGCGCTGGCCCGGGGGGGGCTTCTCCGCCTGGCCCTGCGCCCCCAGATCTCGTTCCCAGTAGACCCAGCATGTGTGAGGACTGTAGTGGGGGCGGCTGTTTGTCACGCGGTGCGGCGCGGACAGGCTGCTGCGGGTAAAGACCCGCGGCTCCTTTCGCGTGACTTCGACAAGCTCGGCGCGGAGCCGGCTCATCGGGCGACATCCCCTTCATCGAGAAGGCTGCTGCTGTCCTCCTTCCTCCCAAGGGTTCCAGTCCTGCTGCCGTGCTGGCCGGTGGCCATATCGGGCTCTCAGAAGCAGAAGCACACTGGGGCTCCAGCCTGTGTGGGCGGCTGCACGGTCGAGCCCCGGGGACATGTTGCTTCTTCTCTCCTTCACTGTTTCATCCCAGATGTCCACGCTGATCAGTACCAGTAACCAGGATTTGACTGTAGGGATTGTATCATTTGGCTGTTTCCCATTCAGCCGTTTCCAGAAGCTGCGAGTGATAAATAATGCGTGTCTCACGATTTATAGCTTCTTTAATGACTAAATTCAGTCCAGGACCTCGGGTTATCTACAGTATGGCTCAGGGACGACAATGGTATGCCGCCAACTCTCCACAGTGGACAGAAAAATAATGTTAACCATTCATTTTTCTCATGCACAAATACGTTAAAGTACCCATTAATTCTGGTGGTGGGGTGGTGCCGCACCCAGGCTGCTTGAAAGCCACAGACCTCTCCCTCTTTGCTCTTTAGCTCAACCTTCACTCCCTGAAAAGCAGGATCCCATGCCCACATGCTGGGATGTCATTCGGGATCCAGGGGGAATGGCGCCACCTGCTGGTTCACCAGCACCCCATCTGGCGGCAGTCTGATTTCCACCTGCCCAGGTGCTGACCGGGCCCAGTCTGGCTTAGCCTCATCAACTTGACGGGATCGGGCTTGTGTTTTGCTTGCGGCTGTGTGTCGCGTAACTCCGGCGTGCCTTTTTGTGATGCCTTTGAAGATCCATCGCGCGGCTGGCCAACATCGACGAGGCCGCGCTGCGCAGGGCCGCGGAGACCGCGGAGGTGGTCCTGGAGCACGAGAAGGAGTGGAAGCTGGGCAAGTGCATCCTGCGGTTCCCCGAGATCCTGCAGAAGATCCTGGAGGACCTGCTGCTGCACACGCTGTGCGACTACCTGTACGAGCTGGCCACCACCTTCACCGAGTTCTACGACAACTGCTACTGCGTGGAGAAGGACAGGAAGACAGGTGGGTTCCACACAGCCCTGCCTGCCGCCCCGCCCCGGCCCGCACGGCCCGGCTCGGGTCGCAGTCTGGTTGGATGGAGGCTGCAGGCGCATCCGGGTCCTGTGAGTGTTCGGCTCCAGTGCAGTATTGTGCCCTGATATGCACAGAGCACTTGAAGAATGCGAGAGAAGTTGCAGACGTGTAATGAGCCAGCCCACATCACAGTTCACAGATTCTTCTCGAACTCCTGGATACTGAAAATGTGAGGTTGTGTAAGGCACAGTGGTTTACAGAGAATGCGGCGTGGATACTCAGAACCGCGTGAGGCGAATTTGTGTGTGGCAAGGGATTACTGCCTACGATGAATCCTAACAGTAGGACAGTCACGTGGGTGCTTCCCAGACGTGACTGCAGTAGCTTTAGTTTAAGGGCCCTGGCTGTGCAGTCCAGGCTCTCGGGGAGGGGATGTGTCGGCGGCGCCGCCGCCTTTGGCAGGGTGAGCCCTGAGCTGCCTCCTGTTCTCCCCCAGGTGAGGTGGTGAAGGTGAACATGTGGCGGATGCTGCTGTGCGAGGCGACGGCCTCCGTCATGGCCAAGGGGTTCGACATCCTGGGCCTGAAGCCGGTCCAGAGGATGTAGCGACGCTGACGGGCCAGCGCACCAGATCGATGCCTCTGCCATCCCTGTCACTTTCTATTTTATTGTGTCTTAAATAAAGGAACAGCTTGGCACTGTACCGGCTCTGTGTGTAACTGTCACATTCCTAACGAGAGATTGAGGAACTGCAGGAAAACCTGCCAAAACTGCAATAACGCTGACTCGGCCGGCAGCTGTCCAGTGCTGTACGCATCAGGGTTGATTAGAAGCTGACGTGTGTGGCTGACCCGCCGTTCATGCAGCACGCCTGCCATTGTGCAGAGAGAGACCCGGGGTTAACTGGGTGTCTGGCTCAGCTCCCGCGGACGAGTGAACGACGCTGTGCAGAGCTCGGCTTCGTTTCTAGGCCCAAACCTGACACAGACCTGCTGGCAGCTCAAGAGAGATGTCAAACCCATGATGCACGAGCTGAAACTGATCAGCTTGGATATGCCCAATCTGCACTGGCTTGAAGAGCCGGTAACAGGTATGTTAATGTGTAAACAGCTTCACTGACGCGTCTGAACGCACGAATGGCGCATCTGCGTGTGGCAGAGACTCGGCGAGAGTGGCACTGAAGTGCTGCCCCTGCTGTACCTCCATGCCAGCGCGGATCGCTTTTGGGGAGACCGGGGTGAAGGTGACATGAGGGTACAGCCCAAGCGGGTCCGTGTTCTGAGCTGCACAGAGCTTCCTTTTTCAAGTTTGTGCCCGCCGAGAGATGCTGCGAGGGGAATCTAATCTCCGTGGAAATGCAGGTACAGAAACAGCCTTTGGTTGCGGCACGAGAGGCATCGTCTCGCCAGCCCGGGGAGCTGGTGCTGCCCGCTTGTCTGACCCTGAGTGAGCCTCAGCAATGAGATGTCCGGGGAAGGTAAGCCTTTGCTTTTCAAGTGAAAAAATATTCACATATTAATACTCCCACCCTGCATTTTGTAAGTGACTTGATTATGTTTTCACAGGATTGGTTGACAGTAGTTTAAATTTGGATTAGTATCCCTGTTGTGCATTTTCCAACAGGACATAGTCCTAGAATATGGCATTTAGGCTTTTTCTCTGCTATGTCCTTAATGCACTCTGATCTTATGAAATCTGCTCCCCACTTTTACCCGCCTTCTGAAATCACTTTGGGAAATACTCCTGCATTTAAAGTTCTGCTGAGAAAAGTTAGTGATCCGAATCTGCTGTGTTTTGGAGAAACAAGAAAGCAACAGACTTCCTCTAGTGTAAGACTCCTGAGAAGATGGAGTGTTTTGCCACAAGCAAATGAGACAAAAATGCAACAAATCTTGAGCTTTTCTCCAGGGACATCATTTCTTGCGTATTAATATGAAAGGTGAAATTCTCAGTTGTCTAAAGCTGTTAGAATAGTTTGCGATTCCCGGATGTATCCTAATTTGACTCTTTACGTCTAATTTGACATTGAGTTTGCCTTGGAGATATTTCTAAAAAAGGCACAGTTTTTGCATGTTTAATGAGGCTTTTGTAGAGATAAACACTTCTTAATAAAAAAACTTGAGCCTGTCATGTAAGGAAGAAACTGAAGGATAGATATGTGATAGAGGATTTGTATTGTTAGTGTAATTAGCCTTTCAGTGTATGTAGAGGGTAAGGAGGAAGGAATTTCAGTGGACAAAGAGCACAGATACATTGGGCTTGTACACTTGCAGTCAAAACACATCTCCCAACTTGCAGATCTCTCCACTAGTCAGAGTTGAAATCTGTACTCGCATAGTCCTTGCATGCACTTTAAAAGTGAATAAAATTGCAATGATAAACGGGACTCCTCCTTGCTCATTTGCAAACTGTGAAGAGTTTGGTTTTGTCCAAGAAGTCTTTACTTTTCCATAATTCCTTTAATCTACATGCTGGACCGAGAGTGTTCTGCAAATGAGTTTCTCCTCTTGTTGAAATAAGATGGCTGCTCTATTAATTAAGCTGATAGTGTAATTCATGGCTTTTTTTTACCCTTGAGGGATTTCTAATCAATACAAGAGAAGGAATAATTAGTCCATCCCAACAATTCCTCGGCATCATGGACAGAGTAATTATTCTTGTGATGGTATCACAATTGCACCTGTTGGAAAATGCTGTTAGTTATTTTGTGTTGAAGAGAAAGATAATTTTCATTATCTGTTGAGGGATTAAAGCTGAAACTTCATGGGCTGCAAAGTGCCCATTAATGATATTAATCTTTGAGAGGCAAGATTTAATTCCTTACCTGGTTGACAGACAGGTAAGCGAGACGTTGATAAATTGGGTTTGTAAATACCGGGAGACATGTAATGACTTTATGTGCAGTAGTGTTTGTATCTCATTTTACGCAATATATGTGCCAGTTGAATATATGCATGAGTCTTTGGAAACTAATTAGATTCAATTTCAATCTTTTGTTTTAGCATTTGTTCAGTTTAATGTCACATGCAAAATAATGTGACTCTTTTTTTAACTAATCTTTACTGAATATTGTTAAAACCCAAAGTTGAATGTCCTTATCTGTGGAGAATGTTATTCATCACCTGTCATGTATGATATCCCTGCTTCTAGGGCATCATTTATGGGACAGGACCTTACAAGAAAGAGAAAAGCATTTTCCCTGCAGTACTTACGCAGCCATGGCAAAATTGTGAGTTTCTGCCTGCTGATGTTCATTGAGCAATAGCAGACATTTGGCAAGGTGTGTTTATGTCCACTCAATAAACCACCCAGCGTTGTTGCAGCTGTATCTGATAACTCAATGTCGGTTATTTTAGTAGGCTTAACAGAGAATCATTTACAGTGAAAGAGAAGAAGCAGTTTGATTCTCAGTGATATTCCTGCCATTTCCATTTAAAGTTTCCATGGTAAGATTATTCCTTTATTTTTCCTAGCCACAGTTCACTTTGCTTATTGGATGTGAAGTTTATCTCTTTGGGGCTTGTAAAAATGAAATAATTGACATTGCATTGGACACTGAATTAAATTGTCTGGGAGGCCTGGGCTGGGAAATCTAGCTTTTGCTGGGCTTGGTGAAGCTTTCTATATTTACGTCTGATTAACACCCACACGCAGGGTCCTCAGACAGTCGATCAGCTGCACCGTCAGTTCTGATGGATGTTCGTTTTACTCCAGAAGAGGCTGTTTGTTTTCACAACTGCTTCCACCTGCGGCTCTTCTGTATGGAGCTACTTAATATAATTCTGCTGTTGCAACCATCTTGGTTGTTTTATTGCAAGGGAGTTTAAATAAAAGTTGAAACCCTTTCAAAAGACATTAACATTTCACTTTATCCCTTTATGTGCTGGAACATTTTCAAATGTTTTAAGGCTACAGCTTTATTTCAGTGTGTATTTATCTTGGCATAGCTAACATACAGTAATATATATATATATCACCCGGGGGATAGATGAAAAGAACAAAGATTATCGTAGAGCGATTTACCTACAACATGGCTGAAAATGAGTGTACTGTTTATAGGAGTTCTTCAGGTGGGGAGCTGCGTCAGCATGCGTAGGCTGCAGAGGAACAGGTAATAGGTTCCTGGACTGGCCTGTGTTTTTACCTTTTTTCTAGTGGGGAAACTACACCAAAAGTGAAACTTTTAGGGAAATTAAAATAGGATATATTGTTTATTTTGTGACATGAAATTAGTTTGGCCTTTTAAAAAAAATGCTGTAAAAGTGTCGTCAATCCGCCTTCGTGTTTGTGAGACCTCTGTGAGGGCACAGGCCGCAAAGCTCCGGTCACACAAATTCCCAGGGGAGTTTGAGACTATTTACCATGATCAATTAAATCAGGTGTGCTTTGCTAGCAAATCAATTAATCAATGAGAAGAAATCGAATGTACTATTAATTAAATGAAAATCACAAATCATGTTTTTTATTTAGAAAATTGACCATTCAAATACACAAACCTCCACTTACAAGTTGTAGCAGTATAAATAATTATTTAGACCCATTCTAAGAAACACAAGGGAGATGTATGTTAATAGAAATATTAAGTTAAAATACATTAATCCACTCAGCCTATAAAAATACAGATTCATCCAGGTTTTTATTAGAAGGCACTAGTGTGTTACTGTTAATATTTTCCTTTTTTGTTTTGCAGTAACATTCTGTAGCTGATCTGTCTGATTCAGTCTTTTTAGAATCTGTCTGGCAGCCACACATACAAGATTAAAATAAAATCCTTTACAGTCTCATTACAGTATCTCTTACAATTTTTCACAATCAGATATTATGGCTTTATTATTTTATTAAATATATGCTCACAATTCCAAATTAAGCACTGAAACCATGAACATATTAGAGTTCCCATTGAATGCACAGCTTGGTATGTATATGTACAGTATACAGTTTTTTTAAATTGCAATTCCGTACAAATTTTGAAAAATAGACTTTTTTTACATATATTACAAAGCGACCCATGAATGATTCTCTCATTTTAACTTTTAAAGTTAATGTCTGGTATTAACATTACATCATGCAGGTATAAACTGGTATGTGTGACGAATCTGGTGATTGTGTAGGATCATTGAAATATCAGGAAAAAAAACGTGAAAGTCAGAAGGATAAGGTGTCTGCCCTGACCTGCTTAATACAGAGCAGGGCTGACGATGTTCCCCAAAATTATCCAACTGCATTGAAAACAACTAGAAAAATTATGCCTTCTAATAAACAACACCAAAAGCATTCTTCAGAAAAGCAAATTCTGTGTCACAAATTTCCTCCCAAGAGGAAACATGGACCAACATGCCTATGGAGCTGTCACAAAACCTTTATTTAGGTCCAAAAGTTCCCTTGAAAATGTAGGAATAGATAGAAATCCTTTGGTATAAGTAGATATTCCTTTATGCTGTAGATGTTCCTTGTTTGTATGATGATACATCCTGTACTGCTTGCTCTACAACAGTTCATCTGCCAATCATCATTTTTTGCCTACTCGCTAAAATTTATTATTTTTAAATGACTATAATTGATTTTTTTTGGCCATTCCATTCTGAAGAAAACAGAGATCCCATTTGCGCTTGTGGCAGTTTTGGGATCTCCAGAGTATTTTGATCATAAAGTGCTCTCTCTCTCTCTCTCTCTCCTTCCCGTTCTTTAAAACTGTGACCCTTGCTTCAGCTGAGGTCGTCACTATATTTTTGTCTCCTTCATGTCCGGTTTGAAGGAGTCTCTGATCCTCACCAGGTCTGCCGCAAGCAAGTGTCCTGAAACTTTGTTGTACCATTCAGGTGTCCGGCCCCTGCAAACAAGAAAATACTGCTGTGAAATACGAACCTTGGTGTGTTTATTCCACTCCCCCTTTAGAACTGGAAATAGCTTTTCACTTTTTGCTGGACAAACTGAAGCCTCTTCCACAGGACAAATGAAAATACTTCCCTCCTGGCTGGACTGTGGCCCCTGAGGGCCAGGACTGGAGACGCTTTTGACAAAAGAAGGGGTTCTTGCTGGTGTGTCTGGGTCTCTCTCAGTCCACCTGAGTCCTCAATTACATAATCAAACTCCTGTCAAAACTTTCAAATGACTTATTGGGGCTCTCTGAACTAGTTCCCTGCCCCCAGAAATGGCAAAAATGTTTTTGAGGGATTTGTGATGTCGATTAAAAGCTCCTAGTCTAATCAATCGAAACATTTGTCCAAGACTAAAATAAGTCATGGAGAGGCACAGAGTTAGGAGCTGGAGAGAGAAAATCCACTTTGGAAGTGTATGAGAAGCACTGTAAGTTGAAAAAACACACACACTTTGAAGCACTGTGTGTGACTTTTCACATTTCAGACAACTATTCTACTGAATTACCTTAGCCTACAAAAGGAGAACAAACACAACTGGAAAACAATAACTTTACAGAACTGGAATTTCAAGTAAACTGAATCACAATGAACCTAATAGTTCTAAATCTTTCTTTCTCCATAAAGTCTTATGTTTGCATTAAAAAAAAACCGGAGGTGCTTAATGTGTTGAGTCTCTAAGGAACCAAATGAGTTTGCCTGATAACAACTAGTGTGAAGGAATTTAACAGCGTGACATTTTCAAATGTACTGTGCAAGGCTTCTTCAATATTTTGCACCGAACCAAGCAAACCATTGAAGATGTGGAACATGATTATTTAAATAACAACAGGGTTTAAACAAATCTCTTGTTTGCCAAATTATATATTATAAATATCCCTCTCCTCTTTCTACACAAAACATTCCCAAAACCCTATTTAAGGAGTTCCTGGGCAGACCCTTGGGGTGGAGTGTGAGGTGAGGAATGGCTGTTTTTATATTTTTAAATAAAAAGCTCTCTTTTTCACCAGTATCTTTTGGTGCACTGCAAAACCTGCTCTGGGCTCCCGTTCTCAGATCGTCTCTCATTCTGGTCAAGCAACCTGAACCAAGAACAGGACCTTAGGCAGCAAGGTCACTCTGCAGTGAGTTTCTGCTGGACACCTAAAAGACTCCTTTCCTAGTGCCTTTACCTGGAGTCTGTTCGGCAGACGTGCGTCAGTCGGCTCTTCCGGAGGCCGATGGCGTCGATCAGGTAGAGGCACATCAGCACCTCGGCCCTCACCCCCTCGCAGGTGACATCGGGGTGCTCAGTGGAGACGGCTGCCAGCACAAACGTGCCCGTCTGAGGATCGCACTGCCAGGTCCTGCAAGACAGATGCAGTTACCTGGGATTTGCTTTCCCCCAGCAAGCCTCCTGCTGCTGTCCTGTTCAGAGCCGTGTGCAGTTTTACAGCAACTCAAGAGCAGCCTTTTGTCTTGCAAATACAAGGCACAGCGGCTTACAGAAAATGTCTGAAATCACTTTTAGTCTTACACCCAGATGAATCTAAAAAGATGGCATTTTCTGTAACTGCATCTGAGATAGAAAGCTTTTAATGTCACCTTTAGGCTGTCTTAAAGACAATGAAAGAGTAGCCATCTGGAGTTTTACATTTTGCCAAGACGCTTTCTACAAGCGCTGGAGGGCTTACCTCAGGAGCACATACTCCCGGGGAGGCTGTGGACCCATGCTTTGAGCAATGTAATGACATATTTCTGCATCGTTGCCCAAGGTTTCAATGATCTTCGTGTGCTGGAAATCCTTTTCCCAGAGCCTCTGCTCTCTCAGTATCCGGTGGAAGACCTCCTCCTGTGTGGCCTCCACTTCCACGGTCCCTCTCCAGAACCGCAAGGGGTTTCCGTCATTCACCTGGCGAAGAGAAACGCAGGCTCACGCCCGAGTACTCCAACTTTCACTCAGGCCTCCATGCCTGGGAGATAACGGAATTAGAGACACAGGGGCCGATATCTCTTTCTTAACACCAACGGATGAATTTTGAACTGGGTTTCTTCGGATCCAAGGTAGAAAAATGGTTAAGATACATAATATTACACCTGACCGTGTATGCAAATACTTGGAGTATGAATACCTGAATATACAGTACAGTCGGCTCGAACGTAGCTAATGATGTATTACCCCTGCTGCATGGGGTCGCAGGTCGAGCTGACACAGCCTGCAGCTGCTCATTACTTACAATCCCAGCTAATCTATTCATTAAGCCAATTATTATTTCGATTCCCCCATTAGGATTATAATCCTTTTGTGCTTCAGCTTATGAAAATCAATTATCCTTTAAAGCACTTTTATGTATAGCAATGTTTACTAATTTTGTAAATATGCAATATCTATAGTTTCTGTTATGAAGCAGAATCAATACGTAATTTGTTGAACTGGAAAGGGTCTTTACGATCACCCCCTTGGCCTGACTGTCATCACATAATCAAAAGATGATCCCTAGGAGATGAGAGAAATACAAACTCCTTCATTAATTACGCTTTCCTTGCTACACTCCTCATCGATTTTACATTCCCCTTTGCTTTCACATCTCTAACCCCCCAAGATCACTCTTCAGGTTCACTAACAGCCTCTTTCTTGGCTTAAAACGAAGGGCTCTTTTACAGCTACTGGATCATGTGTCATGTGGCTTTTAAGTCCCAGCAAATAGTAACAGTCCTCATGGTGCCCATGCAGTCAAATATCACAGCAAGTGGAATGCATGCAAGTGGCAACCTGTTGGGAATTCTTGGCTAATTTGAGTCGTACCTTTCTGAAAGCCAGGTCAACGCTGTCAGAACTAGAGCACGCCACCCATCCTTTGAACCTCTCTCTGGCTTCCTTCAGCATGACCTGCACAGAAACGTCCAGGTGTGCCTGCTTATCCAGGTCCTTATCGCTGCTGTTCTGTGCTGGGCTTTGCCCCCCTTCGCTCTGTGTGATGTCATCCTTTGAGCTGCTTTGATGCTGTACAAGCCAGTACTTTGGCACCTGAAATTAAAAATGACAAAAAGAAACCGCATGAAACTCCGTACAAACTATTACATGCTGTGTGTATATACGTACACATTCGGCTTCTTCTCTGGTTTGTGTTTGGTGTCGTGGAAATGATCTCTGTACCAAGGCTCTGTCTTTAAAGAGTTACGAAAGTACTACTTTCTCCTTCAAAATAATACGATAAACTATACTAGAATCTTTTTTTATGTATAAAATATTTTCGATCACTTTGCCAGAGGGTCGTATCAGTACAGAAAGAAAAAAGAAACACCACCAGTATTTTTGAAAGAAATATCATAAGCAGCCCATGTACTTTTGCAGAGAGCAACTGGAAATAAACCTGCTCACCTACTGGGATAGAACTCTCACATTAAAAACTAAAAGAGTGATTGTCAAAGCTTCTTCTCTAGAGGAATGTTTGCTGTTTTCTTGCAAGTTGAAAGAGGGAATTTAACAAGACGTGACAAGGGTGCAGATTACTGATTCCTCTCTACCCCATTAAACTCAGTTTTGAAAAATTTAGATTTTGTTCGGAGAAAGAGCTACACTACAAATACAATAAAAAGCTTTGAATGCTCTCCTGCTAGATCTCTTAGTAACATGCCAATCAAAGACATTTTGGCCTAATAATATAGCAAAGAGCCCTGTCACACTCTTAGCACAAAGCAGAGCAGAAACAAACATGTGTCAGCTTGGCCTTGAGCTTCGATCGAGATGTTTCTCGTATCTGCCGACATGGGTCTGCAGTGTGAGACATGGCCGTCTCCCCTGTTTGAAAGGGAGCTCTTTCAGTGTACAGGAGCAGCGCACGGTGTGTGGGGAAAGGACGAAACCCAGCGCACCTGGAAGAGGCGAGAGGACTCGGCCACCATATGAGCAAGCCCCTGGGTAGCAGCCAGATTCTCACTCAGGTCCTTCTGGTCCGGCCTGCCCAGACTGTACTTCCTGTGGCTTGACCTGTGTTCCAACAGCAAGACAATCAGTCAAGCCCCATCCAGGGGAAAGAACAGGCTGTACTTTTCCGCTCCCCCACACAAGCCATATAAAACAGGTCTCTCTGCATTCCCCTGAGGAATAAATAGGTCAATCGCCTTCCTCTCACATTCTTAACAAAAAAAAAAACAACTAATTCAGATGATTAATTCTTTAACAAACTCTAAACCAAACAGAAAAAAAGTTGTGATGTGAAACAGAAAACTAAAATATATGACCTCCCTGCTCCTCAGCAATGTTAGGGCTTTTCATAGACTCTGGCCCAGGGAAGGAGGAGGTTATTAATCTGGCACGGATATAGATGTTCTTTACGAGGGTATATTCAGTCCGTGGGGTTTCTCTAGTTTGGCATTCTGCTTAAAAAAACTACAGACCGCCAGTCTGTTTTCACAAAGGAGAAACGAGTGGGAATTCACTTCACAGTTTCGAATTGGCTTTTAGTTCCGAAACCATCTCGCCTTTGTTTTTCTTTGGCTTGAGATGTCCGATTTCTGCTTTAATGTGTGGGGAATCGAATGCACAGGTCACAGAAAACACGTCTACCGGTCAAATTCAACTTCCAGACACAGAAAACATGTCTACTGGTCAAATTCACAGACATCTCATTTTGAAGGAGGCATTAACGCTCTTGAAATCTAAATGGCATAAAAGGTCCCCTTCTTCTTTAAAAAACAGCCAGCCGAAATAAATTATAGCTCCAGTTTATTTGCGTTAAGTGAAAGTCGTATGTAAGGCTATGGAGAGTTACAGAAGGGTGGCTTCGCATAAAGCCTCCTGAAATAAAAGTAATCACAGCAATGGGAAATGAGGATTAGAGTTCCTTTATTGATAGGGATTTATTAGACTGATACATTTATCCAAAAGAAACTTATATTTGTACTCATTCATACAGCTTGGCATTGTGCTAAAGCTATCTGATCTGAGCGAATTACCTTGCCCACAACCTTCCTGTTTCAAGAGACCTAACCTATATTCCCCATCACTTCCTAACTATATGTTTCATCTGAGTTTCTTCAATATGGCAAGATGTGTGGGTAACACTTGCAAATGCAACACACTACCAATCTACTGTGCATGGTTATTTACATACAACTATTAAATCTCTGTAAAATACTCATCATTTACTTATACAAAATACCATGTAAAGTATTACTACAAGATAAGGTTTACAATGTTGCCAGCTTCCCTGTTTCACAGGTTGAATGCAATCACTTCTTCCTGTCCTCTCTTTTTCTGACTGCAACTGATTTCCATGTGGTGGCAGAAAAGTGCTAAATTACAAAGATCTGTCAAAACAGAACAGCGACTGAAATACTGGAGTGTTTGTTGCTTGTATCCCTTGCAGCTCCGTCCTGTTTTTCACACATCAAAGCTTATGCAGTGCAATTTACTTGAGTGTTAATTAATGTGCAGTCAACACTGATCTACTGTCTGCAGAATTATCCAGCCTTTTCTCTAGATGTTTCCCTTTCAGCCTTACATACTGGATTAGCTACTGGTTTGCTGTTAAAATCGATCTCTTTTGGAATCCAGGTGGCTTCCAGTGTCATTACAGAAAGGTCCAGGGAAGGTTGCGGGGCTGTCATGACTGTTCTTAGGTTTGTGAGAATGGAGTGAGTTTGCAGGTGGCATGGCTGGAAGTGCTGGGGCCTCGGCGCTGGTTCTGGAGTGGGGAGCTTCCTCCCAGTTTCCCCAGATGTGCTGACTGGGCTAACTGGTGTCTCTAAATCCAGCTGTCCGATAATGGATGAGTGAGCTCACTGTTCCATAGTCTCACAGCTCCTTTTAAAAAGTGCCTCCGATTTTAAATCCTGAATGGATTTTATCAGAATTTGCAATAACACCCAAGAATACATATAGACATATAGGATGGAAAACAGGTGGGATTTGCATACACAGGCAGTACAAATCTAGAGTGATCTAGCTATCTGGCAATGAGTTTGAAGTTGCTACCCTGGGATTGATCTGGAAGTGACAGGGTGAAATTCTCTCATCACGGAGCTTCTTATATTAAAAAAACATCTTCTTCTCATATGTAACTACTTCTCATGTATTGCTATTAATATTCGTATCTGTTAACAAGGAGCTTTCAAAATAAAGAGTTTGCTGTAAACAGCTCAGGGCTCTCAAACTGGCCTTTTCAGTTTTTGAAAAAAGAAAATATTTTTTCTGAATAAGACTGTTAGTGAAATTCGTGCAATTGTTTATTACTTGACAGACTTGGACCGGTCAACAAGCTTGACAGTTTTAAAATATTAGAATAGAGGAGAAAAGCTGTCTGGAAATTGGAAAGGGAGAAGTGTCCAAAGTAAAGAAGAGATGACAGGTATGGTTACTTACTCATCTGGATGAAGCCATGATGACTTATGGGTTACAGAAAATTATAAGTTCAGAAAGAAAATACTGGCAGTCACAGAATGGTAACACTGCAGTCCATAAGGGTTAACTCCTTTACTGGTCTAAGTGACTAATGGGATACAGCTTATCCGTTTCTGTGGGGTTCAGTTAACTGAGGGAACCAGACCCCCACAGAGAATGAGACATGTCCAAATTGGATCATAGGAATCCTAGACTGCGGCATTAAGAATGAAGTGCCATGGTCAGGAACTGTTTCTGCTTTGGGAGCCGAAGATAGGGACAGCACTCCAGAAGAGCCAGACCAGAACTCCACCCTCTCCCTTTACACCTGGTGCAATGCAGCAGTTGACAGCTCAGGATTCAAGGTGGGACACAATAAGGGACGCGCAGAAGGCAGTGATGTGCCGACTGCAAACCCCTTACCTGGGCGTAGTGCTGTCCCTCTTCAGGGTGTTCAGGTGGAAGAGCGATGGGGCCAGGCAGACGGCCAGGTTGGTGGGTGTCATCTGGTTCTCCTCAACACAGGCGACCACGTCTCTGAGGAAACAGAGCAGCCCCTGCAGAGCCTCCCGGTTCTCATCGGGCAGCAGGAGAATGGCAGCCTGGACCGCGTCAAAGTGCTGGTCCTTAGGAAAATCTGCAGCAGGTGGAAAAAGGGGACGCGCGTCACTCAGTCAGGAAGGAGCACCGTTTCCAGGCAACGCAATCGAGAGTTTGCCATGCTTTCTCCGGGGCGGGTATTTACATTGGTAAATGTGGAGGAAAGATTCGCACAGCTTGCTGGAGAAGATGGGTTCTGGGAGATCCCTGAAGTACTGCTTCAGCATGTCGGCCACATCAAACGCTGACTGGCCTTCGTAGCTCACACTTTCAGGGTCGGACTCGTTCATCTCTCGCAGGGCCTGAATGCGAGACTTGACGCCAGATTTTCTGAAGAGACCCACCTGGAACCAACAAGGAGAGCCTCTTGTTACCTGTATGCCAAGTCTTCGCATCTTAACAAAGCAGGCTCCCATACATAGGAAACAGCATCTCTGCGAGTAAAACATTCCCCTGATGAGGAAATTCATGGCTCATTGGTGCTTTGCACAATAAGACTTGACATCATTATCTGCCACCAGCACAGGAGAAGAATGTGCAGCGCGGAACAGTCTATTAATTTTTTCTAGTGTAGGTTGTGTTCTTGCTGTTCTTACAGGAATATAAGGACAAGAACAAGCTTCTGGCACTCATTTTGGGATACGTGCAGTGAGACAACTCCCATTTCACATCAGTGGACTGACTTCCTCCTCTGGTATGTGCAGGTAATGAGAGGTCTCTTCCCAGGGCTCAATGGCTCATAGGTTGGCCTCTGCACATCACTGCGATTGCATCTTTCCCCATTGACTTTCACTGTGAGGGAGGCTTCCTCTGACTTAGGCCAAAGGGTCACTTTAGTTACTGGAGATCTATGTCAAAATGCTGTTTTTGTGTCTTCTGAAAAGATTTCCAAAAGAATCTAAAATACCTGATCGAGGCACTGGGACCTTAGGTAGTGCATTGCGTTCAGAATACTTCTGGGTAAGGGGTCCCCTGTTCTCTGTACGTTCAGGAGCAGTGGGACACCGAACACTCTTCTGTCTTTGTAGTCTGGTGCTTTGATTTTCTTTATGAACTTTGGAACAGTCCTAAAAAAGAGCACATCCTAGTTTATCAAGGCTGCACTTCGAAATTTCCAAGCGAAACCTTTTGTCTTAAGCTCACATCCCAAGAGCTGCTGTTGGTCCATATCATGACAGGATAATACAGCCTGGCTTGTGAAATTCAGAGGGCCAATATTCATCACATCTTTACCACCATTTTGTTTTGCAACTGTTTTTCTATTTTGTGTTCATTGTGTTCTGTTAACAAAAAACACAATGAACTTGTAAAGTGTCAATTAAAACCTTTAAGATGGTATTTTTGTTTCTGAACACCAGGGGCTTGTTTCTCATGTACCGCAGAAGTAAAAATCAAGTTTTGCAACTCTACCCCATGATGGGCAGGACTTCCTTTGAGGGACTGGATTTACTTAGAGGCAAACTAGTCAATATCCTCCAGATTAAGTAAGATTTAAATTCTTACCTTAAGATGTAATTTAAAGTAATTGACAGTCACCAAGTAGGCATTTAATTTAGGTGTGTGCTCAGATAATTCTCAATATTTCAGATCTTACTTTTAAATGTAGGAAAAAAAGAACTTATTCTAGACACAGCTTATCAGTAAGGGTCATATAAACTCAGGAAAACAATGGAATGAACAAGCAGGATAAAGATTGGAGTGGCTATTTTTTTGCAGTTAGGTTAATGACCACTAAAACAAATGGCACAATTAATCTGAATCTTTTAGGCAAAAGTACAGCGCAATTGAGTTTTTGAGAATAGTTTCACTCCAGGCCTCTGCAAAACAACACTATGTCATACTTATTTCCTTAATTGGTCCACTTAGAGAAGACTTTTGATGTAACGCTGACTGATTTAAAACAACATTGATCTGATAGGTATCTCTTATATGTCTGTGTAAAAGAAATAAGTAAACAACATTTACTACTCAAAACATCTGATGTCAGGTTTTATGATATTAAAAAGTAGAAGGATTAAAATGAAGAATGTGCTAGAGTTTCTGAATCACTTTGACTCATCAGTTAAGGGTTTTCTCTGTTTGACACTGGATTGTATTTCTGAAACACGTGCTTGACAGTGCAGTAACCAGAGCCAGCAGATACTTTATAATCTCACATGAGCAATAGGTCATTCTCATTACAATACACTGAACTGTCTCATTCCCTTCACAGGTGGGCAGCGGATAATTTCCACAAACGTTCACTGGTGGCTGTACTATGCAAATTGAAGCTCAACAAACCACATTCCTTCTTGGTCCCAAGAGAAGACAATTAGCCTGTGTTTTTTAGGACTAGGCTCTTTAGAGATCTTTCAGAATTTTTATTATTAGTGTTTTATGTCCACAGGTAGCGAGTGCCGAAGCTTTCCCAGGGCAGATTTAGCTCTCCCACTAGAAGGAGCATTTTAAAACCGCAATGCAAAACAGTGAGGCTTTTCAGATAAATCGTTATCCCTAGGTCCTGTGCCATTCACTCTGGCGGAGACCTCATTTTCTTCTCTTAGTTATTAATAAGCCTGATCAGACCTTTATTTAAACTGCATGTCAGGCTTTATAAACGGACTTTGAACTTCTATATTCGATTTGAATTTCCATCTGTTTTCCAGATGTTTTATCTTATCAAGCCAATCCTCCAAATCAGGAATTCGCCTAGTAGGTGAGCTCATTTAGAATGAAAGATAGAGGAGACTGAGCCCACCATCCCCACACAAAGGATTCTCTAGGTGAGAGCCCTCCAAAGTTCTTGGGCTAGAACATCATTGTTATCTTTGTCTTACTGTGATGTGCCAGATATAAGCAAACAATCAGGACTGGTGTGTGCACAAAACATCACTCTGTATTCCATACCAGTTCCATCCCTGCTTGCTGGAAGGGGAGTATTTATCCATCAAGGCTGTGAGCTTAAGCAGGGCCAGCTTCTGCAGCAGGTTGAGCTGAGACACGGACTGACTTTCAATCCGAGCGTAAATCGAATCGGGGCGTAAATTCTGCTCGCTGGACCAGTGCAACCTCTGCTGCCTGGAAGAGAAACAACATTTTCTATTTCTGTACGAGTTCACTACCTTGCTCTTCTTCCAAGGTAGCCTAGCACAAGGCTACCTCCCGTGCTATAAAGCTGTGACCAAGAACAGCCTGCCTTGCTCTGCAAGGTGTTAACTCATTTAAGGTTCATGGCTCACCTCCACAAATCTGCAGGCCAATCTGAGAGCAACATCACTGTACAACTGAATATAAATAAATCATTTATGACATACATTCACCAGTCCAAAAAAAGAAGGTAAAATTTCTCAATGTTATATCAAAACTAAACTTTTACTCACTAGTGTCTGCAAAAACCATTCACATCAAAAAACGCAACTGAAAATGACAACACCAGACACAAACTGAATTAAATTACCTGTTTTGATGTGTAAGAGAAGAGCCAACTCCAGAATCCATCATGTAATGGATGTCTGTAGACTCCAGGTTGTTGGGGATTTTATTTGAATTTTCAATCTCTGCTTCGGGTTCCGAGGTCACGGGGTCAGCTTCCCCCTGCTTCTTGATTTCCAGGTGGATCTCCTTGGGGGAGGACGGGCAGGGGGAATTGGAGTCGTTGGCAAAATCCGAATCTCCATCTTCTGACATCTTCTCTGCCCACTTGCTAAACAGATCCTGAAAGTCCACGTCGTTGTTCATTTCTGAGAACACGTCGTCATCCCCGATCCCCTCTGTCTCTCCCGTGTTCCGTAGGTGGGCTTGCATGCCTGGGACGTTGTCGTAAATGCTGATCCGTTGGTCAAAGGCAGCCAGGGGGCTGCAAGCAGACTCATGGTCTTTGGAGGAGCCATTTCCCGATCTTCTCCCTCTGCAGCCGTGGAAGCTGCCAGTTCTCCAGTTGACGGATGTGTTGTTGTCTAAAGGGGACAAGATATCTTTGGAAAGCGCTTTAGGGAACGTTCCGGGCTTGTGCCCTTGGGGGATGTTGAAAATGAGGTTCTCCTGCCGGTTTTTTTCATTCTTGTAGTCCTGTTCGTTGATGTCTGACAGGTGCTCTCCGTGAGGGGGCCTGGCCCTCCGGCTGTGACTGCGAACCCTGGTGACGGGGCTGGGTGTGCTCACCGCGCTGCTGCTCTCCGACTGGCTGCTGCCGCTGCAGGACGCCGGGGAGAAGGAGCAGCTGCTCCTGCTCTCCTCCTGGAGCTCGGCGATGTCCACGCAGTTGAGGCGCTTCAGCCTGTCCTCGTCGAAGCCCTCCTGCAGGACAGGGCCGCTGATGAGGAGCTTGGCTTTCCTAGGCGACGGCCCCTTCAGGGTGGCCCCCCGCACGCGGAGCTTTTCCATCTTTCTCAGGAGGCTTTTGCCCTTCTTCCTGGGAGGCTTCTCCAGGGGCTTCTCGTCATTGTGGAAACTCGGGACCTCGCCGGGCGACGGGGGCCCGCAGAAGGCGCTGTCCGGGGAAGCCGGCTTGCCCCAGGAGCACCTCGAGGAGCTCCTGCTGGTCTCCAAGTCATCGGCGGTCTTGGGGCCACTGTTGCTGTCACTCTCCGTGCTGCTGGAGCTGTGCAAGGAGCAGATGTCGTGTTTCTCGCAGCTGTCAGAGAAGGACGTGTCCTGGCTCTCTGCCTTTTTCAGTCGGGGGCTGTCAGGAAGAAGGGCACTGAGCTGTTCTCCAGCGAAAGGGAACTCGAAGCCCTCCAGGCGTGACCAGCGCTTGCTATGCCTCTCAAATGCCCACTTTGAGCTAATGGCACAAGGCTCTTCGTCTTCCGAGTCTTCACTCTGAATTAGGAACAATACCAAATGTTATGTGCCAAACTGATCCTCATGACAATGTCATTGCAGCACAGCTGCTTGTCTTTCCTAGCGACTGAAAGCAACCTTGAAACCTAGATTAACTGGCTCTGTTTATGTTGCCTCCATACATCTTTGTTATGACTCACCCTTCTTCTGGGCCGGCTAATCTCCAACTTCATTTCCACGCATTTGTTCAAAGTATTTAACCGCCTAAAAGTAGAGGAAAGCATAAATGCATGTAATTAGTTTACTTTCAGGGAGCATATTAAAAAGCTGAATGATAAAGTGATCTACAGTATCCACCTCTTCTGATAAATTAATTATCCCACACATAGTTATCAAAAAATACATAAAAAACAAATATAATCCATGCAAATAAATAGAGCAGGAAGTTTTTTTTAAAAGAATCTGAATTTATTGCACACCATTGTAAAAACTCATAGTCTGCTATCTCCAGACTATTAAAGATATCAGTCACTTTAATGTCAGTGCAGGAGTTCTTCTTTGACTGGCCAAAGTATTAGGAGCCCTGTATTAAAAGTATTGAATCTGGCAGGTAATCTGTAGCTGGACTGGAGGTGCAGGAGGCAGATTTCCATCACCTTCCCTGACCAGAACACCATCACAGTCCTCAGTCTCAAATGAAGGCCGACCTGCTGGGGGAAAAGTGTGGGGCTGGGCTACAAGTGTTTTGGAGGCTTGTGGTAGACCACATGTCCACTGGACCACATGTCCACAAGCCCTCATGTCCACAAGCCACTCGCACTGTCCTTGTTGCTTTCCACAGTCTCATCTCAAAATGTTACCCGGTGGAGGGTCCCATTTCGTCCCATCAGTGTATTGAAACGCAATGTGTGCAATTTTTAGGACAGGTGTGGTTTTACCATTAAAACAAATTAAAATATGCTTAGTACCCGACCAGTAAAGTATTGAACATTTAAAGAGAACAGAAGAAGTCAAGTTCCTTGTCTCCCTGGTTCTCAATTGCTGTAGAGATGGTTGTGTCTTTTCTGTAAAGAACAGGATTCTGGGCACAGCTGCTGAGACCGTTGTGTTTACTGCCCAGTACAGACTTACCTGCAGAGTGAATCGATAGCATCTCTGTCGAGAAATTCATGGTCATTTTTCACGAGATCTATGTCAACAGGGAACTTTGAATCTACAAGAAACAAACAGAACTGTTCAGCATGTTCTGCAGCTTGAGTGCTTCATGCCCTCTCCACTCATATGGGAAAGGATAAGGAATGACAGATGCCACCTGGGCTCAGATGCTAATAACAACCACAACAGCTCTGACCACGATACAGGGATATCTGCTGCAACACAGTCTGAAGCCTTTAAATTCTGTTCAAAACACATTGCAACTTACTGTATCTTTCTTCTAAACTGTACGTTAATGTGGAATACATTGGAGAATGTAACCCTACATTTTTTTATATTCACTACGTCAAATACTGTATATGCGTATTTAATATATCACACAAAAGAAAGACATTTTACATTTCAGGAAAAGAATGCAATTTATATTGTGGAATATTTTTTGCTACTTCAAGTGCCTTTTAAGTTTTTCAAAACTCTGTGCATGTTAGTGTCAAAACAAGTCCACGTGTCTGTTTCAGTTCAGATCTGATTAGAGCTGAGCACCATATCGAGGTACCTTCGAATAGTTGGGCATATTGGGGGAAACCAGCAGCCTTCAGCCAGTCACAAGCTTCTTTTGCTTCAATTTCTGTGAAAATGAACAATGACATGTTTAGTCTAATGAAGATTTATTTTCCCTTTTAAATAAAACAAAATTTCCCGCACAAAATGTCCATTACACGTTGAAAATGTCCTCTTTCAAACGAACCGGGCAGCTGTCGTTTGATGGCGGCCCACCTGTCCTCAATATGTGATCTATTGGCAGACGATAAACCCTAAATGAAGAAGCAGATATTCCACAGAGCAGTATTCAGTATATGTATATACTGTATATTGCAGCTTCTTGAGTACACTCCAGTTATATTTAATTTAGATTTCTAAGTAGCAGTGCCTTTCTATATTATGGATCTTTTCTTTTCACACTACTCTAGTGTAACACCATAAGATCTTCTCATGCTACTGAATGTTATATACAGGGAGGATGACCTTTCAAACATTTCCACACTCTGTTGCTTTAGAAGATGTGAAAACTACCTCTTTTAACCCCGGGAATTAATTATAAAAATTCCATTCCCTGCACTCTGATCGCAGAGTGCAGAGGAGGGGTGTGCTTGTGCCTCTTGTGTTTTTATGTCTTACTATTCTGGGGCCACCATCTGTGTTCACCTTTGAATTCTGCAATTACAAAACCCTGCCTGGAGCAGATGGCGAACATCACATTTTTTGGCAATCTATTAGACTCTGCGTTAGGATACTAACTTTCACATAGGTAACCAGGTCAGGGGAGGACATCTGGGGCCTAGAACGCTGAACAGATGGCTAAAAAAATGTAAACAGGCATATTTTTGTGAACATCAAGTCATCCGAGCGCCGGCCTTCTGAGAGGGATGACGTGCAAGTGCTGGGTTTGATATGATCAAACTCAAGTTGTTTCAGCACTGCAAACAAGCACGGTGTTCCTCTGTTTGGGCTGCTGAATCATAGCACAAGGTTCAGTCTGTCTGGTCTGGAAGGCCCGTCTAATGAAATTCACATTTGACCCTACCTCATCCACACAGCATGTTTGTTCAATCGAAGTCTCTGTGTCACCCATCCCCCAGAACAATAGCAGTGACATTATTATCTCATGGAGCATTTTACTCAGGCCATGTTTTATAGAGCAATTTCAAACAACATGCAAGTATGCAAACATGTCTCTTTCCCAGTTGCTCTGTGAAGGACAACAAACCCATGATTTAATCTGCTGTCCAACTGTATGGTATTCATGCAAGTCATGTAAAATTACACATCTGACCAAAGAAAAATGCACAAACAGTATAAGCCTTTTAAATAAATGAAGAAACAGATTGTTGTTTTAGGGTAGTGACTATAAGACTTTATAAGGAAAGTTTTCTTTATAAGGTCTTTTAGGAGTACAAAGAATGTTTTCTTGTTTACATGTTCATGCTGAAGCTTCTTGCTCGCGACTGGATAAATATGAGTAGAATAGTGTTGCATACATGGTCTCATACTTTTTAGCTTTTTAGACAAAAGGAGTGTCACACGCGGTTCTCAGCCCAGGAGAACATCCATCTCAAAACCTGAAATGGTTTTAAATAAGAATTTTTAATTTGCATTTCTTGCATTTCCGGTATCAAGCCTTCCTGCAGTTATTGCTGCTATTGCAGTACAGTATATCTGAATATTTCTGCAGGCATGCTAATGGCCACTCTCTACACAGGAACGATTGTATCTTTGTGCTGAAAACTCTGATGGGCCCAGCAAGGAAACGCAGTTCCCTTTCTGAATAACTTTCGCTCGCCTTAAAGGAAGTTTGTTTTTTTCCAATGGTTTCTCAGATAAGAGATCTGGGACGGTGAGCTAACCCACCCCCTCTTCGGAGCACTCAGGAAGCATCAGAGCGGCCACTGGGTTTGATAGGGGGCTTGCTAATGGGGCTACGTGCAGACTTGGTGGTGCAGATCTTCAGATACCACCGAGGGCTTGATTAAGCATGACTGAGACCACTGTGATGGTGGTGCATGTACCACACACACGTTCAGCACTCTGGAGCCACCTTCAGATCACTGCAGCCCGGCCAGGAGGAGGGCTGTGCCACATGAAAGGATTGACATTTCGAAGTGTTTTAGGATTCTGTTGACACGAGAACCATAGTGCTTCCAAAGACCCCGGGAGTATTCAGTTCCTCACGTACAGCTGACATTTCTTTACCACTAAAAGCAGTATGACAGGAACTATGATGCTAACTGCATAATTCCGTACTTTCATTGATGTAGGAGAAAGTAAAGCAAGGCATTCAGCAAGATTAATTAAACCGTTCTGGGCTGAGGACGTCCCTGGTGATTTGGATATATTACATTTAGTCTGGCTGCAAGGGCTAACTAGTCACCGAAGTGACACCTTGATGACATCGATACAAAATCTTTACTTAAAAAAATACAAAAAAAACCTTCCTCTAACGCAGAAGAATGACTTTCAATGCCCGCAGTGCATAATTTGCTCCACAATTCCAAGGAAAGAAAAAACAACTGACCTTCTCTTTTCAAGCTAGATCTGCATCCTTTGGAAATTGTGATGTTCAGTAAATAAGGAACTTGGTCTAATCTAAAAGTATAAGGCTTTGATAATCACCATTATTTATTGTTAAAAAATAAAGTGTCACAAATAAACAAAAATGTGAATAATATAAATCAATGAAAATTTAGGTTGTATCTGAAATATTTTTAAATTTGGGGTTCGGATGCTCAAAACCTCCTTTATTTCACAGAATGTCAAATATTTTTATTTCTATGTTTGCAAAAGGCCATGTCCTGTGTAAAACTCCACCTTGCCTTATATCCAGGTCAAAGTCGGGTCAGTATATTCTGCCTGAGAATACCAGAGAGATACAGTACGAGAAGATAGTGCACAACCACCAACAAACTTTGTCATATTGTGCTTTCAAAGAGAGAACAATGGTATAAAAGCTACAGTTGATTTTGCTCAAGGAAACATACAGGAACACATCAGACCTATACTTTCAGGGCTATCATGTTTTGAAACCCAGGTGCTTCTCATTTACCTTATGGGGGAGCTAGTGGCTCAGTCACACATGTAAAAAAGTTTAAAAAAAGTAAAATCTACATCATTTTGTAGAATGAAATTCACTTGTCGAATGTTCTAGACGTTTATCTGGAAATGATTTATTATTGTAATAATAAATTCACTACTCCCAACTTGAGCCAGCCTGTAACAAGACATGAGGTTCATCATTGTTCCTCAGCTCTGTTGTCACTGCTGGTTGCTAACAACATAGCCCCATTGCTCATTCTGGATCCGGCTGTGTTACAGAATCCCACTGAACTAAATCCCACAGGCCATAAAAGCTAACAGTGAGATAAGGGAAAGTTTACTTTCATTTAAAAAATCCAGTTAAGAACTATGAAGATCTCTTTTACAGCAGTGTTAATACACTTACATAACACAGCACTGATCTTTTATGGACATTTTAGCCAAGTAAATTAATTTGAAAAATGCAGTCGAGCTAGTCTTGTGCTCATAAAAGACTACTGAATCTCACAAATCGGCAATTCGATTGAGCTCAAGAACACATGATGACACAATATTGACCCGAATGTCTCATAAGATCTGTATTAATAACCAGTAGACAAACATGCAATACATTTTGTTTTCAAATGATTTATGGTTGCACACAATATTGATGGAATTTAATGCAAATAACTTTCTAAATTCTAAAAAAAAAATAATAGACATGCAACTGAAATACTCTACAGGCAGAGTCACATAACTACAGTGACAGCAGACAATCAATTCAGGTCTATGGAATTATTTGAAACACTGAATTGCTTTTCTTTCTGGGCCTGTATAAATAAACAAAGTCTATAATGAAAGTTCGGCTATACACATTATAAAAATGAAAACTCTGTTTGTTTATTACCTTATTACTGATAACTTTGCATTTTGTGCACATTCTCTGATAATATAATAACCATCCGCTCAATCTGTCATTATGACTTTCCCCGTAATTTTTAAGGGTTTCATGTTTTTAAAGGTGGACTATGTTCTTTACTTAATTTAATGTTAAGAAATAATGAATAATTGTAGTATATCTACTAAAACTTTCAGTAACAATATCTAGTTAATTGCATTTGCCAACCATCTTGAAACCTAACCTACAATTTATCGCATTAGAGGTTTAATGTCTAATGTTTCCATTTCAGAAATTCATTAACTGCCAAATTTACTATGCATACAAGCACATGTACTGTATATACAGTTCATACAGTAACAGAGCAATACAGTAATACAGCACAATACTGTACAAAGAAGTACCTTTATATCTGTTATAATGAAACACACATCAATTGAGTTGTCAGAAGTTATAATATACTTCTTAACTCTCCTTCTCTTTTGCACAATGTAGTTTTAATTGTTGTGTTTTAATTTTCTTTAAAGATGTCTTGTACTTACTTGTTATAATCATTCTTGCTTGAGATACCTCTTCAGAGCACTGTGTACTTTTCAAAAGGCAATCAATGTTCTTAAGAAACAAACCCAAAAAAAAAAAGCCAAAACGGCCCCCAATTTAAAAAAAATGTAGACTAAAAGCAACTTAAAGATGTGTTCCTTAAGTTTGACTATTGGATTATTCACAAAATCATAGTCCTCTTACGCACATCTGGTGTAATGAAGAAGTTAGTCAAAGGCATTCTCACTTAGCCCTCAGTGGACCATACCATCTGCACTCCCCCTTCACAGGGGTGCTGCTGCACAGACTGTGACAGCAGCGGCTCTGGAAAGGGACTTCCCTGCAGGAGGGAGTGGTTCTTCCCATTGCTGAGGACCACAGCTGCCATACCCTGACCCCAGATGTTCATCTAGGCACCTGTCCGCCAGCGGAAGGCTGGAAGGGCGGTCAGCTGGTACTGCCTGTTGCAGATCTAATCATTGCTCACGTGGGTCTCCAGACAAAATACCTTTGGTATGTGGAAGCCAAACAAGTATTGACCTACCAGAAACAGAAGGAAAAAAGTGCCTTTCAAGCAGGTTTTCTAAGGTTTGCGCACTTGCTTGGTTCATGGTGGTGGA